TTTTTTTTTTGAATATCACCAAGCCGTCAAGAAACTTTGATCTCATTGGTGATTCGATGCTAAATTGTGTCACATTTGTGAGCTGAATCATTGGTTAGTGTTCTTTCCCTGTTATCCACAAGCTGCTGCATCTTTATAATGTTAAGATACTGCTTTATTTCATTATTTTTTGCACTTTTAAGATTTCTGACCTAGTTCCCTCTATTTCTCTCAGAGCCATTCTATGGTACAATTTACTTATACAATAGGGAGAGAAGAGAAAAATTGTCAGAAGATTTCTATTTTAGCATTCTACCAACTGAAATGCAGGATGTAAGCCTTAAAACTAATTTAGGATTAAATTCTTTGGTGCTTTGGTTTTTCATATTGATGACTTAAAAATCCACTCTTTCTCATTTACCTGGACAGACTAATAAAGTATGTTCAGAAACTCGTGGACTTTTCTATTTAGATGCTCCGTCAGCATCTGTGTGTCTACTAATCCAATTAGAGAAGCCTGCACAGAAGAAGGGGGAGTGACTCCTGTTTATTCATGTAAAGAACCTGTATGTATGAAGAACTTTTATGTTTCCATCTTGTTCATCTTCAATCTGACCTCTGATTAAATGTGACAAAATTTCTCTTTTGTTGGCTTGCTTGTTACCTGGCAGCAAGATTTTTACCCGTTGGCTTGCTTGTTACCTGACAGCAAGATTTTTACCTGTTGGCAAGAATTTTAACTATCGCCTCCTCATCACCTGTCTTTCAATTGGTTTTTACTGTAGTTCTTATTGTGGAAAATAATGGGTCTGCATCTGCTAGATAAGTTAGCTAATCATTGGCATTGCAATTAATGCTTGATATTTTAGGTTTTGGGCCAGGGTGATTCACCTTTAGCTGAGATGATGGAGCATTTGGTCTTTCTCTTACAGCAAGATAATTGTGAAATTAGTAATTCTTCAGTGGATTTTCATCCATACTGATTTTCATCCATATTCATTCATCTATGCTCCTACTGCTACATATTACCATACTTTCTTTTATCTATGCTTACTTACAAATTATAAATGACTTCTATTTTGCTTGCATTGATTCTTTTGTTACTCTAATGTTTTGGATCAGTTGATTATGAAATTGTTTCTCATAGGTGATTAGAATTCAATGTTTTGGTACCTCTAGTAGGAAGGGATGTTTATTTCTCAGACATATTAATCGACTGGAGTTTGGTGAACGTAGACACTTTAAAAGATGAGAGAAAACAAAGCAATAAAAAAACCTGGTGATGCAGCTGTTGTGCATTTGAACTTAAATTGTTACATTGCATGCTAAGTGTTGTCATTTTAGTGAAGAGATGATTAAGAAAGTCTATAAATAATTTAAACTATGTCAGTTGAGAATTGTTGCATGTGTGAGGCAACATGGTTTTGGCTATTGGAATATGAGGGTAGATCTTCAGCCACTAATGTTGAACTGAACATCAAGTTTGTTGTAGGACACTCTTAATATTTTAGAGTTGATGAAAGCTCGGGGAAAATAAATATAATTTTGATTTATTTTAGTAGCTGTATGGTTCTTGACTGTTGTTATTGCTTAATGGTAATCATTTCTAAGGTAATTGCACCATTTACCCTCTGCATCTCAAATAAATTCCTTATCATTATTGTTGTTCTCTATCTTCTCCTTAACAGGTGCACTTGACCGAGAGAGAAACGCAGAAACTGCAGGTGTGGTCTCGAATTATGCCTTACAGAGAGTCCTTCGCCTGGGTTATTGTTCCTTTTTATGATAATAGCATTGGTGGAGCTTCTGGTGGATCTGCTTCTCCTAGTAGCCGTCTTGCTGCCAGCATGTCTGGGTCTGGTTCCCATGAGTGTGTCCTTGAGTCTGTTGCAAAGATTACATTAGATGGGAAGATGGGTTATTCAAGCGGAAGCTCTATTGTTGTTGAAATATCTAACTTGCATAAAGTGAAAGAAAGCTATACTGAGGAGTCACTTCAGGTATAATGGACATCTAACTTGCTCTAT